GATTTAGAGTAAAGCTAACGGTAGAGTCTGTAGGTTAAGCCCTCGTCCATCGGCAGGTCATTACTCAGCGTTCGCTACGTCAGCTGCGTGCTGGGGACCCGGGGACACGGAGATGGGTCAAGTCCTATGCAGGCCCCGGGAGAGCCTCACAGTCCAAGGGGCACACCGCCTGAGCAGGTGTGGTCAGACCCTGCCGCGGGAAGGAGGGCCCGGAAGTCTGGGGGCACAAAACATAGCACTTAGCTCAGGGGCCAGTCCACATTTATTGAGCGCTGACTGTGTGCCAGGACCTGATTCAGGCCTGGCCGGGACACGCACATCCATCCCCACCACCGTGCAGGTCCCATCACCGCGGAGAAGCCGGAGTTAAGAATCGTGTGGTTCGCCTCTGCTGGGCCCGGCACTCCAACGCTGGCTCCATGAGAGGGACCCCACTCGGGATGGGGCCCTAAGCCTCTGGGGGCTGTGAGACAAGCCCAGAGGGAGCCGGGAGCGGGCAGAGATTAGGGGCTGGGACGGGGGAGGAGGGTCAGGTCCCTCCCATCTCTCCCTCCCCCTCCTTCCCCAAGTGCCTCCAAACCCAGGAGAGCCCATTCTTCCAGTTCCTCAGGGAGCTGGTGCCTGAAGGGTGACTCCCCAAATGTGTATGTTCTGTCTCAAGGTCCGGGGTCCGTCCCAGACCAGGGGGTCCACAGGCAGGAACCCAGCTCCCCCATCCCTTCCCAAAGGCTGCTTGGGGTACCTCTGCACCCACAGACCCCCACTGAGTCCAGCTCCACCCACTTGTCAACACTGAAAGGTGAAAATGGGAGGTGGCAGGGTTCCCCTCTAGCCCCCTCTCCTCTACCAGCCTCCGCAGAAACCCCAAAGATCTGCCGGACTCATGCCCATCCAGTCTACAAAAACATTTATTGGACACCTGCTGTGTACAGCCACAGCGGTAGGTCCCAGGGAATACAGACAAGTCCCTGCCCGAGGAGCTTTCATTCCCATGGAGAACACACAATAAACAAGTAAAATACATTTTAGAAAGAGAGAATCATGTGGTCCATTTCCACACAGTGCATGTGTTGTTTGCTTTCATTAGGAAATATTCACAGGTCCTGAGTTCCTGCCAGTTAGTGCATTAGTCGCTCGGGTACCATAACAAAACAACAAAACACAGCAGGCAGTCGCTTCAAAACAGACGTTTGTTTCTCACACTTTTGGAGGCTGGAAGTCTAAGATGGAGGTGCTGGCCATGGAGAGCTCACTTCTTGATGCCAGATGGCCACCTTCTCTCTGTCCTCACACTGAGGAGTACGAGGGTAGGAGGGTTGGGAAGGGTGGGAGGGTAGGGGAGAGATGCACACAAGAGAAGGAGAGAGGGAGCGCCCTCTGGTGTCTCTTCAGAAGAGGACACTAATCACATTAGATCAGGGCCCCACCCTTATGACCTCATTTAAGTACCTCCTTATCTCCCAATACAGTTGCATTGTGGGTTAGAGCTTCAACAGGTGAATTTGAAGAGGCCACAATTCAGTTCACAGCAGTCGGGATAAGGGCTCCTCTCTCTTCAAACCTCCAAAATCCCTGTTCTCTTTCCTCGATCCCAGTATTTGACCTCCCTTCTGCTTTTGCTGAAAAAGGGGATGCCTAAGAAAGAACAGTGTCTCTGCTGCTGAGTGTCGCCCCTTGGGGCGGTCTTCTGGAGCCACCCCACTTAGAACGCCAGCCCCTCCCCTCGGTGCTCCATCCCCTCACCCAGCCGTTATCTGTTGGAGTTTCCCCGAGCGGCTCCTCTGTGACAGCGTCCCCGCTCCACGGGGACATTGTCACGTCGGAAGCCGCGCTCTTCCTGCTCACTGACAATCTCCCCTCAGAACATCATCTCTGGGAGGCACAGTGTCTGTCTGCTTGTCCCTCTGCCCCAGGACCTGGAACAGCACTGGCCCAGTCTGTCCTCAGTCAGCACTTGTGGGTGGACAGCTAGTGACCACTAGGAAGAGGCCCAGGTGTTCCAGGGCCCCTGTCCAGGCCGGAGGGACCCCTGACCCAGAGCAGGCAGGGCCCCATGTGAGCGGGGAGATGGAGGAGGTGTTGGCCTGGGGGCCCAGTGTCATAAGGACTGGGTGTAGCAGTGTGCATCCCCACTCTGTCCACTCAGCCCATGTCCTCCCTCCTGGGAGAGCTGCCCAAACACGCCTGAGTGTGGCCTTTGAGTGGCATTGAAGGAGGGGTCCCGTCTGCTAAGGGAGGCCAAGAGGATCCTTGCTCGGCCCTTCATCCCTTCACCCGGTTTCTCCCAGCTGCCCTCAGCCCTCAGGACCTCTGAGTCCCCACCTGGTTAGTTTTCTGCGTGGTCGTAGCAGGTAGTTGTATCTAAGCGTGTGTTTCCTCCCTGGACTGTGCTCTCTGAGAACAGGCTTTGTCCATCGCGGTCACTGCTGAGTCTGTGTGTGTGTGTGTGTGTGTGTGTACACATATATGTCTGTATTGTGTGTTGTGTATATGTGTGCACGTGTGTACATGCTATGTTTACCTGTGTGCTATTATGCATGTATATCGCTGTGTGTATATACCAGATATGTGTGTTATTCTGTATGTATATATGTTCTCTCTATATAGCACTATGTATCTGGCACATGGTATAAGTCTGATCAATATTATTTCACTTTGTCTTGAACCTAAGGAAGAGGCTTCTGATTGTAGCCACAGGGCACCTATGGAGCTCGGAAGCAAAGAAACAATAGAGATGATTTTTGAAATGAAACAATTCTCAAAAGCCCCAGCTGGTTTGGCTCAGTAGCTAGAGCGTCGGCCTGTGGACCGAAGGGTCTTGGGCTCGATTCTGGTCAAGGGCACGTACCTTGATTGCAGGCTCCTCCCCGTCCCAGGCCCTGGTCAGGGCTTGTGCAGGAGGCAACCAATCGGTGTGTTTCTCTCACATCGATGTTTCTCTCTAAAAAAAAATCAATGGAAAAATATCCTCGAATGAGGATTAACAACAACAACAAAAAAACAATTCTCAAAATACAAACCTCCTGCAAATAGATGAAGGACTAAAGAAGCAAAGGCACAAACTAAAAATGGCAGCGAGAACTAAACTTTTAAAAGTTATAAAAGCGTTACACCAAATAAACATGAAACCAGAGGACGAGAACAATTTTCCGGAAAAATAATGTCACCTGCTCTAAGTCAGGAAGTGATGGAGAATCTGAACACACCGGACAGTAACTCGGCTGGAGCTGTAGGGTCTCCTCACCGCTCTGCCTGTCCGCAGCCACAGAAGCATCGCCAGGACAGATGGTCCACCTTCGGCCAAACCTTCCACGAAAGATAATCCTCACGGGATAGAAACTGTTCGGGAGGGGAGAGGGCGAGGGCCATCGCTCCGAGTCCTTTCGTGAAGCCAGAGAAGCCGTACAGCTTTGAATACAAAGCATACACAGACGGCGCCAGAAGGCAAAATCACGGGCCAGTTCACTTACGGACATGGACAACAATTTGCCAAAAAAAATCCGAGCACCCAGGCAGGGGGCAAACAGCAAATTGGAGATGATTTATCCAGGACAGAGAAGGCTAAATAAGCATCAGAAAGCCTATCCCTGTATATTCACCACAGAAACACTCAGGGAGGGGGAAAATGACTCAGTAGATGCAGAAAAAGAAATTGTGATAAATTTTTTCACTCATTTATGATAAATAAATGGTCAGAAAGCCAGAAAGGGAACTTCTTCACCTTGATAAAAGGTAATAAATACCACAGCCCTAGCCAGTTTGGCTCAGTGGAGAGAGCATCAGCCTGTGGACTGAAAGGTCCCAGGTTCAATTACGGTCAAGGGCACATGCCCGGATTGCGGCTAAGTCCCCCAGTGGCGGGCAGGCAGGAGGCAGCCGATCAATGATTCTCTCTCCTCATTGATGTTTCTATCTCTCTCTCCCCCTTCCTCTCTTAAATCAATAAAGAAATATATTAAAAAAAAAAAAAAGATAATACCACAGCCCTGGCCAGTGGATCATTTGGTTCGAGCAATAAAATTTCAAACCACAAAACACTGCGTTTGCATACCATCACCTGTAACTACCCTAAAAACATAGCGTTGAGAAAAAACAAACAAACAACAAAAACAACACAGCAAGCATCCATGTAAATTAACATTTCCAGGTGAGTGCTGGGGGTGGGGGAGCTGGGATGGAGATAGGCAGGAAACTAAACGATTTTATTTTTTTAAATATATTTTTATTGATCTCAGAGAGGAAGGGAGAGAGAGGGAGATAGAAACATCAATGATGAGAGAGAATTATTGATCAGCTGCCTCCTGCATGCCCCACACTGGGGCTGGAGCCTGTACCCTGGGCATGTGCCCTGACTGGGAGTCGAACCGTGACCTCCTGGTTCATAGGTCAACGCTCAACCCCTGCGCCAGGCTGGCCGGGCTGCCTTTGCTTTCCTTCCAACGGCCAGCTGACCCTGTGTGCTAGCGTGAGGGTGTGACTCATCCTACTCTTAGGGCCTCCATAGCTCTGGGCGCCTAAGAGCACCTGAAGTTCACTCCACAGGATTTGAATTACAGGAGAAAAATGATATTATCAATAGATGTAGGAAGAGCCTTTGAGAAAAGTCCATCGATGTCTCTTCGTGATTGAAAAAAATAAGCTCAAAACTGGAAGAGCCTCTTGCCCTAGCCGGTTTGGCTCAGTGGATAGAGCATTGGCCTGCGGACTGAAGGGTCCCAGGTTCGATTCCGGTCAAGGGCATGTACCTTGGTTGCGGGCACATCCCCAGTAGGGGGTGTGCAGGAGGCAGCTGATCGATGTTTCTCTCTCATCGATGTTTCTAACTCTCTATCCCTCTCCCTTCCTCTCTGTAAAAAATCAATAAAATGTATTTAAAAAAAAAAAAACTAGAAGAGCCTCTTAACGTGGCCAAGGGCCTCCATAGCTCTGGGCGCCTAAGAGGCCCTGGTGGCAGGTTCAGGGGGGCTGGGAGCAGCTGGGAGGGCTTGTTGCCAAAAGCGTGAGGGCCCGGAAGCATGAAACTCGGGGTGGGGCTCCCCGAAGTCCCCAGGGTCCACACAGCACAGAACCTCACGCAGGTCCACCTTCTTCCGCAGGATGAACCAGACTCTGAATGACAGCCAGGCGCCCACGCCCGACCCCAGCAGCCTGGAGCCGCGGGCGCTGGGCGTGCCCTACTGGGTGCTGAGCGCCCTGACCCTGCTCGTCTGCGTGTGCAGCCTGGCGGGCAACGGCCTGGTGGCGTGGCTGCTGAGCTGCCGCGTGCGGAGGACGCCCTGCACCGTCTACGTGCTGCACCTGGCCCTGGCCGACCTCCTCTTCCTGCTCTGCATGGCCTCCGTGCTCAGCCTGGAGGCCGCCAAGGCGCACCCCATGGCCTCCGAGGTGCTGCGCAGGGTGAAGTACTTCGCCTACACGGTGGGCCTGAGCATGCTGACGGCCATCAGCACGCTGCGCTGCGTCTCCGTCGTCTGCCCCGTCTGGCACCGGCAGCACCAGTCCCCGCGCCTGTCCGCCTGGGTGTGCGCGGCTCTCTGGACGCTGTCCCTGGTGATGAACACCCTGGCCTCCGTCTTCTGCAGCAAGTACTGGCACTCGGATGAGAACCAGTGCTTCGTGGTGGACGCGGTGTTCAGCGTGCTCATCCTGGGCATCTTCACCCCCGTGATGACCGTGTCCAGCGCCACCCTGTTCGTGCAGGTGCGGAGGACCTCCCGGCGGTGGCGACGGCGGCGGCCCACGCGGCTGTACGTGGTCATCCTGGCCTCCGTGCTGGTGTTTCTGGTCTGCGCCCTGCCCCTGGGCCTCTACTGGTTCCTCCTCTTCTGGCTGCACCTGCGGCCCCAGGTGGTGCGCCTGTACAGCTGCCTGTCGCGCCTGTCCGCCACCGTGAGCTGCGGTGCTAACCCCGTCATCTACTTCCTGGTGGGCAGCCGCCACGCGGGCCCTCGGGAGCCCCTGGAGGCCGTGCTGCAGAGGGCGCTGCAGGAGGCCCCGGAGCTGGAGGGGAGAGAGACCCCCTCCGGGTACAACAACGAGGAAGGGGTCTGAGCCGCCCCCCCCTCTCCCGCCCAATGCCCCGCAGGCCTGCTCCAGCCCAGCACCTGGCTGGCCTGCTGTTGCCCCCAGGAACTCTGCGCTTCCCCTGTCCGGGTCCCTTTCCTACAGTCAAAGCTCCCCCCAGCATGATCCGGGCCTCACGTGCCACTCAGCTGGAAGATGAAATGTAATCTCTTGGCATCTGAGGATCTTTGGCTAGAGGACAAAGGTTAGCCGTCACCCTGGCCTAGCACATTCTCTCCGCCTCCTCCCCCTCAGACGCGGCTCCTGGGGTCTCCTGGCCCTGCTGGTCCTCGGGCATGTGCTGGCGGCACCCACTGGCCCCCAGGCGATGCCCCTGGTCCCCTCCCACCAGTGTTCTGCTGACACCCTGCAAGCCTGCAGCCAGTCAACCATGTCGCCTTTGCTGACCCAGCCGTGGCTGGCTGCAGGCCACGGGACTGCCCCGTGCTCCTTGTCCTCGACCCCTGACCTTTGCCTGCGGGTCGCCGTGCACCACCCCTGCACCCATGGCAGGCCAGCTCCTTTTCCCCGGAGGTCACACTGGAAATGCTCAGCTGAGCTTGGCAGGACTGCGCCCGGACGGTGCCTGGAGGCAGCGTCCTCCCAGAGTCCCACGCGATGCCAAGCAGGGTCGGCGGCTGTCCCTGATCCACTGTCCCCCTCCGCCAGAGTCCCCCTTAGCTTGCCCCACACCCTCTGCCCCTCTGGGGACAGAGCCCACAGGGCAATGTGGGCACGTGCTCTGCTGTCCTCCCTGGGTCAGAACTAGGAGTGGACTTCTGCTGCCGTCGCGTGTCCAGCCTCAGGGCTGGGGGCTCAGGTGGAGGGCACCTGGTAGGGGGGTCCCCACAGAGCTGCCCTGCACGGAGAGGAGGGAGGAGGAAAGAAAGGAGTGGAAACATCGTGGCCCGGCCCACAGGGCTGGCATCTTGCTGCGGAATCCTATTAGGAGTGTCAGAAGCCAAAGGGTACCTGTCCTTCCAACTGGCACCCTCTGAAGCAATTCCCAGTCTCCTCCAAAAAGAGGGAGCTTCAAGCCAGCTGGGGCAAAGGTCAGATCCTCGGAGAAGCTAGAGAAACCCACTAACGGTCCATACATGTTAGCCCATGGCAGCAAGCGCCCCAGCCTGCAGATGTGAGCACCCCGTCCACACATGCCTGGGTTGCACCGCTCGGTCCCCAGTAGGGATCTCATCATTGATGTTTCTATCTCTCTCTCCCTTCTCACTTGCTCTCTGAAATCAATTTAAAAAATACATTTAAAAGTAAATAAATAAAACAGTCATGGGATTGTAAAGTGCAGCACAGAGAATATAGTCAATAATATTGTAATAACTATGTATGGTGCCGGGTGGGTACTAGACTTATCGGGGGGCCACTCTGTAAGTTATATACATGTCTAATCATTATTTGTACACTTGAAACTAATATAAACTAATTTTTGAATGTCAACTGTAATCCTATCTAATAAAGAGGTAATATGCAAATTGACCATCACTCCAACACACAAAATGGCCACCCCCATATGGTCAAGGATGGCTGGCAGGGGAGGGAAGTTGGGGGGAACCAGGCCTGAAAGGGAGGGCAGTTTGGGGTGGGGGCAGGCCTGCAGGGGAGAGCAGTTGCAGGGGACAAGGCCTGCAGGGGAGGGCAGTTAGGGGCAATTGGGCTGACAGGGGAGC